ACAGCCTCACTGATTACTGTTCTATAACTTTTGACATCGTCTGCTAACATTAGTATCGGTGACTTGAGCAGTCTAGGTAATTCATTCATGTGAACAAAGAAAAGTACTTGATCTACGATGGTACTTGAAGGTACACCACTTCAAAATCTTTCATTCAGATGGTGTCCCATTTACTCTCATTTTCTGTCTTCGGTCACAGGGACGATTTTTAGCCACTCTTGTACGATTAAATACAACATCGAGCTGCTTACATCTTAGAAATCCACGGGTGTTTTCACTAACTTACTTACATGTATCACGTATTGACGAGACTATCATTTACATTCTCGGTCAGCGACCTTTAAAATACAATTTTTGTGAGATGTGTACAAGTTTGCATGCCAATGCATTCTGATCATAAATTAGTTTTTCTTATTACGGTCGTATCGCTTTCAAGTCATACACACTTCGTAAAAGTTTGTTCGTGTACCTTCAGATATGAGTTTATTACCAATCAGATTACGTTTAGGTCGTTTCTTTTCTCAGCTTATCATCTGGATCCAATTTTAAACTGATTTTTTCCAGATTTTTATGTGTACAGCTGTGTTTTCTGAAATGGCTTTAAATCATCTCTTTCGGACCCCTTTTATGTATAATTTCACAGATACCTGGAATTAGATGTTCTTTACTTTTCCTATTTGCGATTAAATCAATAATTTACACATATTAAATTTTTAAAAACAATCAAGGGAATTAACGATATTATTCCTCAATAAGCAAAATTAAAGCTGGGTTTTTGTAGAATATAGTTTTATCCTAATGCGTAATCCTATGGGAAATCAGTTTGCAGGTAATCTGGGGTTAGAATTATATGTCTGTTAGCGAAAATTGAAACAAATCAATATAAATTTCTATGTTTAATTAGTTAGCTTCGACTTCTTCTCTTCGTTCATAATTTTTATCTTGCCGATTGTTTTAGTAAAAACAGTGCCTGGATTGGCCGTATTCCGAACCAGAATGTGGATAGTAGTCAATAACTATAGCTGATTCGTCTACTTCATCAACCTTTATGTAAACGCTCCTACTGCAATTTCGGTTGCTATTCCAGTCACCAAGAAATTGTTTGTGCCTATATTGATAGGCATTAAATTCAGGCTCGCAAAACCGACATTTCTAGTTATTAAACAATAAAATTAAAATTGAATACATTATGACGTGTAATGCGCATTTCGGAAGTCTTGGGTGATCTGATCTTAATGTTTAAGGTTACTGTTGATATCTGAATAAGGATAGATTTCAAAGATACTGGATAGCACTAGGAAAAAAAAGGCTCGAAAAATGAAATCCTATTAAATTTTTCCATGATAAATACTCTCCTATCAGTAGACAAGGTGCATGTGTGCAATAGGTAATTTGCTCGCCTGACACATATCATTAAATTCTAGTTCAAAATGTTTCAAAGTAATTTTATTGATAATGTCTGGAAAAGAATTGTGCGTATATATTTAGCAACATTTTAGCTGCTTCAGATACGTTGGTTGGCTAGCGTTTTCATTTAAAAGCGAAATAAAACCTCTTCTTGGTACAGCAAGAATAGTCATTGATATGGTTTAGCATACAATATTTAGTAAAGCATTATTTTCTCGTAAACGACCAGCAAGTTATTTCATGCAACAGATTGTTTTCAGCTTGTATATAACGATTACGTCAACTTGAAATCTTGCCGTTGGCTATGTTAGATGATTTTGGGTGACAGAACGAAACAAAAGTTTTCAATACGTTTGAGTAGTTTGATGGTGAAACAAATCTTTCTGCTGATGAGACAGTAAAACCTCATTTTTGCAGCCAGGCACGATTATAGTTTCATTTGTAATCATAAAAGTCCGCATAAGCTTTACTACAAGATTACTGACTGATGATTGTTTAAATTTTGATGTAGTAACAGTTCCATATTTTAATTTGAAATATCTTTTGTTAAGACAATACAACTAAACAAGTGAGCTAGTTGATTTTAAGATGGAGCCATGTCAATTAGATAAACTTTTGTTCCCAGAATAATGACTAGTGACATTATTTTCAAAAGAACTTTTGTAACTTGATGGGGATGTATGAATCTGGAATAATTATTTAGCAGTAACATTTAAATGCCCTTGCTCCCAGTTCTGTCCAATTCAATGAAATTAGACATGATATCAAGTCATCCTCATGGAAGTCATCTTTAATCAAACCTTAGAATATGGAACAAAAACAATATATAATGCAAGATTATGTGACCAAAGTGACTAATAACATAAACAGCCTTCTTACTTTCTGAGGCCTGTTACCCTTCTTAGGGTATAAAATACCTCCCAGAAATCTATAGTGATCTTTGTTTCTTAGCTTTCCTCTCTAGTTTTCGCCAAAGGTTGTTAACAATACTGATGTCATCAACCTACTTCTTACGCTCTTTTTTGTTTTGCTTTGGGAATCCCAAGTTGGGGAAGATTAACGGCCTCCAAAAAGTGTACTTAAGCTATTTTCAAGCGCTTTTCTTCTATGCTACAGTCAGTTAGTCAGTTTCAACGTAGAACTTCGTACGTCCGTACATCAGTAGAAGTTACCATGACACGTTAGCATAGAGACGCGATTGCCAGTTTAAATCCCATAGTGCTATTAGCGGTAAATGAGAGGATTAGGGTTCAAAGATATAATCCAAGCAGTGTAATTCAGTGAAATAAATTCTAAAAACAGATAGAGATGATTAGGAATTCCGATGATTAGAATTTGCGAGAACAGAAAGAGTGGTTGCACATACGCCACTGCAAACGGTTTTGAGCCATGTAATTCAGGGTCTCTAACAATCAATTACTATCATCACGAAGGCCCTAACCAGGTAGTCGACACCTACCAACATGACTTAATCTAGTTGCCATTGACTTAATAGATTTGCTCCATCTTTTTTGGCCACCCCTAGCTTTCTTCCAACCTATTTCTACACCACAAAATATAGCTCCATGAGGTAGTCGTTTGGCATTCGTAACACATCCTAATCACCTCAACTAAAGAAATTTCACTACTTCATCTATTGGTCAGCCATCCTTATCTAGTACCCCTTTCCTAACAACAGCATTGCTTACTCGGTTGTCCCACGACACACGAGCAATGCATCCGAGACACCTATGGTCGAAGACAGGCAACCTACGAATATCTTCTACTCTCGACGGCCATGTTTCACAGACATAAAGTAGGACGCAGCGAACTACTGTACAGTACACTCATCCTTTGGTTAGTCAATGTAAATTTCGCCTGCGCTATAAGTGACGCAGGTTGGCAGAAGCCAATCGAGCCTTCTGTATCCGTGCTGAGATTTCGTCTGTCGCCAGGCCATCGGCACTGATGAGACTCCCGAGATAAGTGAAGCGGTCAACACGCCCAACAGTTTCACTCTCTATCACTAGTTCAGATACTGATGCAACCCAATCTTAAAGCAACATTTTGCATTTCGAGGGGGAAAACCGCATACTGAAAATTCTCACCTATGCTATTGTAGATTATTGTTGATGATCTCTCGCCGAGAGATCTGAATTATTTTGCGTAGACATTTTTTTAAAAACACCGATGCTCTTTTGGCGATGCTTGTGGTAGTTCTTAAGGTTTCAGTTACGTACATTCCCTTCAACTTTAGTGTCAAAAATTGAGATTTGAGTGACAGCTCGTTTCTGTTTCAGATATATTTTATTCGTAGAATTGTTGCTCTCTTTTTGATCGTTCGTTCCTTGTCAACTGCCTCTGGTCCTTCTTGTTTATTAATAATGCTAACCCAGAGATGTAAAGCCTTTCACCTCTTTTAGAGGCTCTCAATCAAGTGTAATTTATATGGTGTTATTTACGGTGGACTTCAGGATCCTGCCTTTTCACTGAGTGTTGAGGACCACTCTCACAAGAGCTGTTGATACACTTGCTGTATTTGTTTGCAGTTGAAGATGTGTATTCTATAGAAGGGATTAGTGATTTACAAAATTCAGATAATACAACCATTAGCGGCGGCCGGACCAAAACATGGCAGAAATCCATGAAATCACTGACAAGCTGACTGAGACATGTTGTTAGATGTAGGCTACCTGGTTGGGGTCAGTGAGATGTAAGTCACCAATCGTTAGAGACCTTGACAGACATGGCTCAAAATCGTTTGCAATGGCGCAAGTGCATCCACTCTTTATGTTCTCTCAAATCCTAATCTTCTGAATTCGTCAACACCTCTACCTTTGTCTTTCTAAACTTATCTCACTGAATTATACTCTTGAATATTATCTTCGAACTATAATCTTCTCCAATACTGTTAATACTTCTACTGTCGCTACCACTATGGGATTTGAAATGAAAGTTGCGTCTCTGTGCTAACTGGTATGGCAACCTGAACTGATATACGTAAGTACGAAGTTCTGTGTTGTATCTGTCTGTACAACCGTATCCAGTTTGAATACGATTTTCCCCGCTTTTTTGAGGTGAATACTTCTTCATAATCTAGTCAAAAACCAAAAAACCAAAGATAATAGAAACTTTGTCGAACATTGTTCCTCATATGGCATTGATTTATGAGACCCTCTTAATGAATGACGTTGGAACCCAAATCACTGCACAAGTTCCTAACAGTGGTGGCAATTGTCCCAGGTACTCCGTAGTGTTGTTAAGGGATTCCGCATCGTCTGTACGTGATCGATCCTTACGCGTTCCAATAAATTGTTTTCTCAAAATAATGTGCATATGTGAATGGACAGTTTGTGGATATCAAATGTATAAATTATTTCATATCAATTTATTTATTCAACCTGAACGCTATTACTAATAAAGCAAACCTGTCGTGTCATCACACATCTATTTAGTATTTATAGAAGTAGGATTTACTCCTAAAAGAGAAACGAATTTTCGATTTACTAATAACATCTAATTCGTGTATTTGATATTTAATTTTTAAATGATTTTTATACTAATAAATTCGCTTACATAACAATCATGGTTTTAACTGAATCTATAGCAATGCAATGATGGAACAAACTGTTGAACCAATGGATCAAACTAATACCTCAGAAATATTAAGAAAAATGAAGGCTAGAAAGCGTTCCAAAGTGAACAGTAGTGATATAGGTCCTATCCTAGAGACCTTAGGGGACGATATAACAATAGCATCAGAGGCAGAAAACGTGAATAATAAAAGAAACGGTCTTGCAACTGGAGCAAAGAAGATCCCATTTATGGATAATCGAGGTAGGTTGACTTAGTTAACCGCATAATTTCAATCCAGTAAGTTTGAAAAAGTTTTCTGTGTTCTCCGTCTTTACCTCTGGTCCAGTTGCGACTAATTGAGAACTCATTAGTGAGCTCTGCCTATTGTTAATTCTCATAAAGTTATGTGCTTTTGATACTGTAAAAAAAGTACAACTTCTCAAGCCATATGAAATATGTAGTGGGACGAATGAATAAAATGAATGCCAAATATAAAATCATGCTACATTCTTGACCTCCGCCTCACCTGATAGCATCAAAGTATTAACTTTTGGTTGACAATTTTAAGTCAGTTGTAATACTATGTTAGTTGAGTAAATCAACAAAATGAATGAGATGAGTGATCTGATAATTTGCTGACAAAACCAGTACATACATTTTAAATGAGGGAAAAAAAATCCCAAAATAACGGAAATACTAAGCGACATACTACGTACCATCGTAGAGTTTAAAATTGTTATTTGTATACAAAAATTTAATCAAGATTGTATAATGTAGGAAATGACAGACAATGAATTAGTAAAGAAGATAATATTTACAAAACAAATAACAGCTTTCATCCTTGTTTTTTATGTCAAAAATAGTTTAAATTCTTTAATAGCTTACCTTTATCCAAAGTATTGTTTCATAAATCTTTCTTTTATTTAAGTGATCTCTAACTGTCAACTCAACATTTATTCACTTCGATTACAGATTCAAATTATTGTCTGTGATATCCTGTTTTGTACAGGTACAGAAAGTAATAGTAGTGTAGTGAAGGAGAACACAGGTGAGGGCAACGGAATTGTATCTAACAAAAATTACACAGTTACTCAGTAAAATAGGAAAACCATACCGTAACCGTTGATTTGCAAATCTCCAATCCATTGTCTCACATTTCACTATTCATGCGTTTCATACAAATTCCATTATGTTCCCACTCTTCCTTTCTTGATCTCCCCCCACCTTCTGCTGCCAGACATTACGTTTACACTCGCGTCATATACTACTTATAAGTAGCGCGCACCACAGTAGTATTAACTGTTTTATATAATATACATACGTGCATTTGATTTGAAGCTGAAAATTTATTCTAGAAATTCATTGAATTGGTTTATGTTTGATTAGAAATACTGTACATTTTTTTTCTTAGATCCAATGATAATAACATTATTCTTATCATGAGTGTACAGTTTTTACAATATATACATTTTCATTTGGTTATCATTTATTCATAGGTGATATTTCAAGTAATTTCACTGAAAAACAATTCATTCCGAATGTTTACGTTGAAAATCGAAGTGGTTTTCGTTCACGACCACTAAAGGATTATGAGAAAAATATGAATAAAACACAAAATAATGAAGAATCTACACCAAAAACAAGACAAACTGATAAACAAGAACTTATCGATACATATAACAATCCAGGATTACATTTTGTTATTAGCATACATGAAACATTACAAATTTTGATATTTACAATATTTGGTTTATTGGCAGGTGCAAGTTTAGTGCATACACTATTTGTACAATCATTAATTAATCCAAGAAAAATTAAAAACGATGGTTCTTGGAACTATGATCATGGAGATGGTTATTTATCATTATTGAAATATTATGGAGTTTATGCACGTCCAATTTCGATTACATATTATATATCATTAGCTTTGATAGGTGTTTTTGTATTTGGAAAATTTGATTTAGGCAGACCAACGACAAATTGCATTCAAAGATGTGTTAAACTCCAAGTAATTGATCATTCATAAGTTTTAATATATTATGTAGTTACTCAATATATTTGTACTGAGAGTCACTTAATTATCAGTCCTTATATAATTTATATTTTAAAACTGGATGTTTTACTTTACTTACTGTGGTTTGTCTTATCAGTCAAAGTTTGGTTAGGATACAGTCAGTACGTAAGCACATCAGTTCATGTTGCCATACCACATCAGCACGGAGACGCAACTGTCACTTCAAATCCTATAGTGGTAGAGATAGGGGAGAAGTACTAATGGTAGGAAACATGAGATTGACACATTTTCACAGAGCCATCGATTCAATGAAGTCACTTAATCTTATCAACCTAACTACCATACAAACTATTGACCAGAGAGAGAGGTTGCAATTCAAGTTCAATAATTATTATCTCCGAGGTAGCGAACCAGTTTCAGATAGTATAATAATTCTTTGATTACCGTTTGTGCTGAGTTTTTCAACTGGTCAGTTTATCAACTTCTCAATGCAAAGAATCGTTAGCTCTGAGATCCCATTTATATTTAGTCTCAACAACACATTAAATCAAAATAAGCGAGATTTTTCGTGTTACATTTACTCGGTCAAGTAAGATAAGTAAAAATTTTTCATATCTTCAAATATCCAGTGTATTGTTTTATCGGTTGCACTGTCAGAATCCTCTTACCATGTAAGAAATATCTGATTTTAATACGATTCAATTGAATAGAAAGTAAAATTTAGAACTTGTAAAAACACTACTGGTTGTAGAATAAATAAATACGTCTTTTGTAGTTTACAAAATAACAAATATTCTATTCTTGGCAATGTCATTATATCTAATATTTTACAAAAACATTGGACAAGAAAATCTAGCACTTTGTATTATCTCGGTCACTTAAATTAGTATTTGTATTCCCGTTTTTTCTTTACTGCTATCTTCATGATATTTATTTAGCATTTCATTACTGGAGACATTTTTGAAGATCCTTCTACTTAGATAAAAATTTCAGTTTTATGATTTTCCACATTTTCTTTAAATAATTCATTTACCGTGATACCGAAATCTCTGTTAAGTGAATTGTTGCATAACATTAATCAACTAATTGTAAGCACCTTAAAAGATTTATTACAAACTGAAAGCATTTTATTTATCAATTAATAAAGATCGTTAAAAAAAACTAACTTTAGATTTTTTCCTAAATAGAAAATTTGGTAGTTATTAGGTGACTAAAACATCTAGCTTTAGATTCTCTGAATTATGGTACATCATTCTCTTTGATTTGTGCAGCCTGACTGTTTTTCTAAATTTTAAAAAAATATATGACTCAAATCGTGTGCGCTCAGTTACAGTGATAAATATTTAGCAGTTGGGTTTACAATTTCACATTGATTATTGGAGTTATAATTAGATGCTAATCGACTCAAATGGACAGCGCCTCATTTGAAAAATAACAAATAACGATATTTCATGGTACATTACAAAAAACTGAATGATAATTATGCAATACATAGAGTAAATATTGTGTGTGCGATCTCTGAACATTATACAGGTCCATATCAACTAATCATTTCAGAATAAGAAGCAACAGACACTCATTTGTAAACTTAGTCATTTTTTTTTCAGAATTTACTACTGATCATTTTCTTCTATTTTTTATTTTATTTATTAGAATGGACTAATGGCTATCATATTTTATATGATCGCTTTCGCAATACATAATGCCATGAATTGGTTCGATTACATATTCCATGTAAATAGTTATAAACCTGAGAATGAAATAAGATATCTATTGAGTACACAAAATGATTTAAATAATTTTCTTAAAATATGGCAAATACTTGATACTTGTCGTACAGCATTCATACTAATCACATGGATATCAGTTGCATTAGGTGAATCGATTCATGACAGGTTGACTAAAACGCTGTACATTAATCCTATGAAAATCGAAGATGGCAGTGGAAACAATATCATCCAGTCAAATTAAACATCAATATATATATATATATATATATATATATATATATATATATATATATATATATATATATAAACATTAAATAATGATATTTGTAATTCCTGTTGTTCCTAGCTTCTCAAGTGAATTTGTAATTTAGAAAATATAAATATACAATTGGATGTTTCTCTTTTTAAAGTTTTAAGGTTCAATTGTTCTGCGCTTTTATTTTATTATCAAAAACTAATTTTTTCAAAAACAAGAAACTTAGTTTCTAATGCACACAAATCAACTAATACACAATTATTCCCGTCATATTATAGATTCATGCATTAACCTAATCTAATCGGGTCACGATATGTTACGTTGTGATTGTTAATAAGCGTGTATGTAACCAAATAATGTCGTTGTAAAAGCGTTCTACGGTTAGTTAAGATGATTGGGTAACAACTATTCGCTACATTTCTGGAAATCTTAATTATTCTTGACTCAAAGTCAAGAACATACACCTGAATTTGAGCAGCTGGCTTATTAATTTCAGTACACAATGGATCAGCACGAATCGTTTTAGCGGAGTTTTCGATTCATTGGAAGACATTCATGATGTAGCGGGAACCCAATGTTCTGCGCTTACAACTTCACCAAATAAAATTCTCTTAAGAATCTTCAAAAACAGATTTATGCATTTCAATTTAACTTGAGGTGCACTTTCGTAATTTTCTGGAATCGTTTCATCAGACGGAGAATGTGCCTTCATTGTTCAAGCTGTGGCCCGTGCTAAATTTTGCTCCAAGAGAAAATTTTCCTCGTTTTGAAACAGTAGCGATCATAGGAGAATAACACGGATTCATTTATTTCGCAGATTCGCTTCGACTGCCTACAACCTAAAAATAATTGTCTGTTACTAAAATATCGAACAGGTGTACATACGTTTTATCCAAAAATGCTTTAGTAAAACTGATGTAGAATGATAAAAGATAATAACTGGAAAAATTAAGAGACTGTTCAAATGTTAATTTACATACAGGTTAAATAAACAAATATATTAAAAGATGAAACTAGGAAGGGCAAAACATAATTTTCAACACTATTGATTGCTGATCTCGTATTATTGCGTCTTATGATTTTTAATATACAGACGCTATTTACCTATTTAGTTCCATCATTTAAATACACCTGTGCAACATGACCAGTTTAACCGCTGGCCTTTTTCTTTATATTTAATCTTTCCAGCTATTTCATCACCTTTAAAGTCTCGTTCGGGAACTTTACCGCTTCAGATGTACGTGCGTAAGCACATACATTCAGAAAACAGAAAGAAGGGTTAGTGTCCGCATCTCGGAAAACATTACATCAGATATTTGACTGAGTGGTTAGCATGCTTTTAGCAGCGGACGGAATGTCAAATGTTTCTAAGCCTTTCATGGTAACATACTTTCGGGAAATTCTATCTTGCTCTCATTAATTTTATTGTCTTTGTTTAGTTAACCTGCATGTGAATTTTTTCCAGTTACTATCTTTTATTATTCTACATCTAAATGTAGAACTCAATTTCACTAAACCCTTTTTAGATATAAAGTATGTATACCTGTTCGATTTTTTTTAATGATTGAGAGTTGTGGGCAGACGAAGAGAATCTGCAAAATAAGTGAATATGTATCATTTTCCTAGGATTGCAATTGTTTGCTTATTCAGGTTGCTGTACGTTTGACTTCTGAAGATATTCGTGACAATTTTTCACTATAAGGTTATGGAGATTGTTGAGTTACTTTTAAATCATGAATCAACCAATGTTAGACCCTTATTAGAAACCTGGAAGTACGGGATGACTGTATCGTCCGGTACGAGACTCATCATGAGCGCGCATCTACGACTCGCCGGAATCGAACCGAGGACCTTAGGTCTCGCACACACACGCCTCATCCAACGGTGTTAATGTTTAACGTCGATCAATTCACGATCATGAGCAACCTCATGGAGTTCAAGCCTGTTAGGATGTGAAGCGGTGCTCACCGAAGACAATTAAGTTTCTAATGGTCCATCAACTGGACTAAACAGTATATAAAACAACTTCAGGCTAGTTTCCCAATATTATTTCTTTTTAAAAACGAGTCACAACACCATTCCTTTTCAAAACAGTTGTAGAAGTTGCAATTTCGCACTTCTCGGACTATTTAGGTTTTTTATTTATTCAAAAGTAAACTCCAGACAAAGAATTAGGTTATTGTAGATGAGGTTTCTTTTTGAGGAAAAAGGAGTGAGACGACTAAGGGTTACACTGTGTGTTTGTACGTAACACTTCTTTACGTAGAATTTTCATTAGCTGATTTGCGCTGCGAACTGAACCTACGCGAACACTATTGAAAACCAAAGTCAATTGACAGGAAAAGTTACAACACAGTAATGTACAGTAGTTTATATAATACAGATTCAAAAAAAGTATTACATTTTCTAGTAAAAAATGTATACAAGCACTATGAAAGAAGACAACTAAGATACAAGTAATAGGTTGTAAACAAAATCTCTAAAAAGACTAAATTACTTAGTAATAATTGATAGAATAAACCGGTTAAAATAAGATATACAAATATGGCCCCATATAATTACATTGAAAATGTGTTATATTTTTATTTTGATGAATTCTGAGAAAATGCAAATGATGATATTCTCTTAGATACTGTATTCTCAAATTCAGATAATCTTTTCTTTGAAGCAATAGAATTAGACTGAATTAAATCATCATTCTCACTTAGTGGACGTTTATTATTTTTTTGCGGTAGATTTTCTTTACAGTCGTCATTAGAATTTTTATCTTCTCCATCACAAACAACGTTTTTTGAACTTTTTATGGAACGCTAATTAAGAATGAATAAAAATAAACAAATCTTAGATATATTATTATGTGTCGCAGCAATTTATGCACGACTAACTTAAAACACTCAAAAAACGTAAACCAGTTACCATGTACATACTCATGATGGATTATACGTGTAAGGGCTAGTGACAGTCCAGTTATAAAAATCGAAGTATGTGAGACAAGACTACAACTTGTGACATAGTGATTGAAAGTCAAAAGCCTTATGGAAGTAGGTTGTGGTGCTGTGGGTATGTCATCGGGAGAAAGACGTTTAGATCTTGGGCACACGGAAGTTGTTTTATTGTGATGATAATCAAACTTTGTAATCCGGACGCAATCAGTTGGAAATCGATGTCCGTAGTTATTACATGTGTTTTGTACCTTTTAAATGAGAATTACTCTTACAAAATTGTCAGGAGCTTGTGTTCGCACTCACCCTGGGTGATGAGCAGCTAGAAGTGGTTGAAAAATCTGTGTCTGATTAGTTGCATAAGTGCTAGTAACGGGCATGACTAATAAGACCAATCTACATATAGCGAAAGCCAGAGCGGCTCATACCGTCATGATGTCGGTCTGGATGTAGAAGGTAGGGTTTACCACGTGTCAGTCCTGCTTTGTGCTTCCAGTACTTGATCTCGCCGAGTTGAGAATGTTAGGGGATTCTCTGTATTCGACCACTGTTGTCTCTTAAGGACTACTGACATTCAGAGGCGATACCATGTTAGCATTGCTGAGGTTCGAAAATGTGGTTCGGCACTGTGAGGACACCTCAGTGTTACCACATCGAAACACTAATTTTGGTGGCATCGATAAGTGCCACGAAAGTCTTCCCAGTGGCTTCTACATCGTCCTTCACTTGGTGTTAGTGAGACTAATTAAAAAAGCAAGAGAGTCAGTTTATAAAATAACGCCAGAGAATGAAAGAAAGCTGAACGGAAATGGAATCTGTTGGTCGTTCATGACTCGCTGGTCAGGATTCAAGAAAAAGTGCGATTCAGTGGCTTTCGATGAATATCTCTGACTAAAAGGATTCTTTCTTGTTGTATTTTGCTTAAGCAAACGGTTTCCCCCTTTATTTGCTAATCACATGCCCTTATTTTTATTCATCGATTGTTTTTTAATAAAATGCGTGGAGCGCATTTATTTTGGTGCCCATTTGTACCAATGCTTATGCGTTTAAGTAAATAGTAAGCGAGTACACTCAATATTTGATACACAGCCACCAGAGATTCGGTCTTTTTAGTCGTGAGGAAAACAGGACACCTTTTTTCTCTACTAGCGTGAAACAACTAATACGAACTAACAGTAACAAAAACTCTAAATATCTGAATGTCCTTAGCTTTGAAGTACTACCCACCATTAACCAGTCAAAAAGGTAGACGTAGATAAACAAATATTCACCTTGATCTTAAAATTAAACTATAGTCAAAAATGTAGTTTTATAAGATGACTGACTTTTGTTAGAGAATTTAAAGTTCATTTTATATATTCATTTTAGCATAAGCATAATATGAATGGACGCATAACGACAAGGTTTTGATGCGTAAACTTATTCTATTTAGAAATCTTGTGCATTACATAGATGATATCTAGCAAATATTGTTGATTGAAGGCATAGAGAATTGAACACAAATGGTTAATATTTGTGTGCATATCTTGTATTCATAATGTTTATTATTAGATATGTTTATAAATACACATCAAAAAACTATGCGTTACAATAGTCTTGGATGATATAAGTACATTTAAAGTTAATCATTTACTTACGTATTCAGACTGCGCTATGCGAACAAGCTCCTCCACTGACACTTCTGGATAACTCTCCTCTAATGTATCTCGATTTTCTTCAAACCAATCAGTAAATTCTTGATCAGTACTAATAAAATAATTTAGGTAAATAATGTAAAACAATTCAGTAGGAAACTTTAAAATAAATAAATAAAAACAGTCATAAGTATATGTAAAAAAACAAGCAGCTTACTCTGTTACAGCAACAGATTTCATTTTAGGCAATTTAGATCGTTGAGAAGACTGCAAATAAAATCAGAAAGATTATTTTAATATGTTATCAATTAATAAACAATGCAATCAAACATTCAAAACTATATAAGAAAAGTAAATGTGATAAATCCACTAGAATAAGTTTCTTTTTTATTGATGTTCAGCTGAAAAAAAGATGAAGATAACTAAAAAAATATATAATATGAGAGAATCCATAGCCATTACGCTTTTTGTATCAATTTACATCTCTAACTGAATCCTATATTACAATACATTTATTTAAAAAAAGATTTACAAATGAAAGGCAATATATGACAGATACTAATTTACTTTTATTCACATAATCGAGTATAATGCTATGTAAATTTGGATGAACTTCACGGCTTCTCCTTTATTGCTTATAAACATAGGTTGAAGAAAACGTCCTACCACAGAGCTAGAAAGTTATATTCACTGAAAAAGCTTAAAGAGTACACTGCAATAATTGATTGTCTGCGAGAGAATCGTTACCATCAATCAATTAAGAATAAATATAGTACTGAATATCTAAGTTAGACTGAAGTATACACACTCAAAAATAAAAAAGGTTTTTGTTCTACTCTCGTTCATAGGTGACCAGATAATGGATGCAGATTAACTATAGTTTATAAGACACTTAAAAGAGCAAATTAAGAAAATTGAAACTAATTCATCAAAATAAAACTGCAATATGATATCAAGTTAATCAGACGACCATTAATTCTAATGCAAATTATTAAATGAACATATGTAGTCAAGTTTATCGAAATAAAATGGAGCATGATGAACAATAAACTTACATAACCATGTATACGTAACAATTTAACAAACAACAGTCATTAATAGACATTAACTTAATACAATACTTAGTGTATTGATGAGTATAAATTATGTATCAACACAATAGAAGGTGATATAAACTCACAGAGACCGAACGCTTTTTGTTGTTTTGAGTTTTGCTAGCATTAGGCTTTTGAGAAACCTTGTTGGTTGCAGCAGTTGTCTTAGGTGTCCAAACATCTAACAGTTCCGTTCCGTGAGCGATTGGGCGGGGCGCAAATTCCTTCTGGTCAAGAGACGACTACACCAATAATGATAATTTAAAGGAAAAGTATGATTATTAAAGAGCGTAGAAATAAAGTAAATATGATTTATATAACACATGAAATAAAAAGCTGTTTAAGATATGACAAACGTTATAATTTCACTTGGGAAATTTCATTTATGTAAGTTTATAAGATAGCCTACTTTCTTCTGAAGTCATTGGATTTTGGTTTCGTACAATTTACTTTAATAGAGGTGGTAGAAATTAATAGCTCAGCTTCTATTTAAATTTAGAAGCACTAACATATGTATGTTTGCTTATGAATACCAGGACGTTAACCAAACTGGATTTTTTGAGTGACGGCTATTAATCCCGATTCATTATTGATAAAGTCAGGCATTGTGACTGAATATTACTTATATTGATAGTTAAGTGATCAGCAACTTAATGTTTATCAGTCAGAAAACTTGACACTTTCACGAATACCTACGCTTGTCACCCCTAATAGACCATAGGCTGCCGACCAGCATTCTCCAACCAACTCCGTCCGGGGTCTTCCTTTCAAGTTCTTCCCGATTGCTATTCATTCTTTTGCCTCCATTTCTAGGCGCAGTGTGTCACTTGGTTTACCTTTTTTCCTTTTGTGATGCATTTGGATGAATTCCTCAATGCGCGCCCTATCCACCTGAAATGCTTCGTTGTAATTTTTCTTTATATGTAATCTGGTTTGTTCTCTCCCACAGTAAGTTGTTGCTGATGGTGTCTGGCCAACGGATCTGTATCTTTTGGATGATGGCTTTTGTAGTTCTAAACGTTTCCGCTCCATGCAAAACAATGTTTTAACATTTACATTAAAATTCTGACTTTTGTGTTGGTTGATAGTTCCTTTGAGTCCCAGATGTTCTTCAACTGTATAAATGTTGCCCTTGCTTTACCATTCCATGTCGTCACATGTCCGTCAGATACTCCTTGTTTTTCAATGGTGCTGCCCAAACATGTAAAGGTTTCCATCCCTTGCGAAGTTTCTCCGTCAAGTGTGATTTGGTTGTTGCATGTTGTGCTGTGTCGAGGTGTTTTACTTTTTCCTTCGTGTATGTTTATACCTATTACTGTAGAAGCTGCTTCTACACTGGGTGTCTTCTCCAACATTTGTTACCGTGTATGGGGTAGAAGAATCTCCAAAGTCCAAATTGTCCAGCTACATACAAGCTGTCCACTGTATGCCTAGCTTCCTCTGAAACGTTCAGGTCTTTATCATCCAGTCAACCAGCAGAGGAAAATTTATCTTGAATAAATACTCAGAAATTAGGGACATCATGTTCACAAGTAATTAGCTATTTGTGCACATGATAACACTTAAATACATTCGATTAAAACGGTAATACTACTTTGTTTTATTTAGGTGGATATGCATTGAAAAAAACAAATGTAATAATGGTTCTACTAACTCACTTTGAAAGGATTTCGTGAAGAGGAGGGGGTCAACATAGAATTAGACAGAGACTCAGAATCTGCCAGAGGTAGACTATTACTTGCAACATCATTAGCATCATCAGTTCCTGAACTAACAAGCGAAGTGTCCGCCATATCAACATTGTCTGAATCATTTGCAGATCTTGAGGTCTTTGGGTGAGTATGAACATGGTTGTTCGATAGAGGATAGCCTGTGAAAGTAGTATGATCTCTAAGAAAAATTAAGAAATAAATTAAATTCCATAGTACACGTACGAATAGGGATAAAAGTGAATGCAATACCAAAAAATGAGTTATATATGGTTCAGCCGGAAAGGCTATTATCCAGCTTCTCTAATAAGAAAACCGTCGAATTTAATTCAGGATTACATCAGTAATAGACGATCACCAATGTTTGGATATTAAAACTCTAAATAATTCAAACCAACTAGCATTCGAACATACTAATTTCTTAATTCGATGTAAGTATTAGCTTTAAGAAATAGAAGCACCCCAGACAAATATACAAAGCCTATCTAACAACTTGCACAAAGAATTTCAACATTATTACAATCAAGCCCAAGGAATAACGCATGTACAGAAATGGTCTCTCTACGTAAAACGCGTGGCATATATGAAGTCCATTTTATAACACGAAAAACTGGAAAGCGCATAAATAAACGGTACGAATGCAACGCAAGATAAGGTATGTAGGGAACGGTTGGTCTATTCTTTTTAAAGAGCAATTAAAGGAAGTGTTTAGTGAGCAGACGCCTATGAATAGTAGATCTTTTCATGGATATCGAAGACGAACATATATGGTTTTGTCTTTACATTATTTTCCAGAATGAATGATAGAATATATATATGCTCTTGCCAATGTTGCAGTTGATAGGAATCTGAACCATTCAGTTCAGTTGTAAGATTAATTAATTTTTCAATGCGAACTGGGGAAAGGTTTGGTCATTACGTGAAATACGAAATACAGAAGCACTTGTCACTTAAGCATGTGGTATTAACATAATTGAGTAAAATAACTGAGCTAAAAGCTCACATGCAATCTAACGCTGTATTACGAAAGAGAAAAATTTGAGATAGGACTATAGTTTATGGTAAACTTTTGAATGACGTCATAGTGTCCTTGGGGAAATCCACCCACTCTAGGGTTAAAAGGTTATAAATTAGTGTGAGGAACTAGGATTCCGATTTACAGTTATATGTTATGGATAGGATTTGAGTTATGGTTTTTATCATGAACTGACATCAGCTGTAATGCCGAATGAGTGGATTTCGGGTCAAAATCCAAGACTTGATTTGTCCATAAATTATAGTCTCTTCGTGGGTAATAATGATAACAAAAGTAGATTGTAAAACTTGATACAATTTGTTAGTGCGAAGAGCTGATTGAAGCCTGATTCTAAATATACACCAAGATAAAATCACAAGTAATGACATCACACTAGCTGTATTTTATTTTATGTAGTTTAAGATGAATCAGTTTCAAAAGCGTATTCTGTGATTATTTGAACTCAAACATCTCACCAAAATATAAAACAAAAATAACAGCATATCAATAAATTTACATACCTGTTATGGTTCCTTTTGAATGAATTCTGTGGGATATCATCGCAATCGTCAACTTCAACAGTTTCTGACACATGACGACGTTCTTTTTCTAAAGCGACTCCTGCTAAACGATGTGCGAGGTTTTGACGCCTTAGCCGACCGGCATATCTAATAGCAAGCTGAACAGTCGCTGCATCTGGCATCATATCAGCGATTGCGAGACTAGCCCAATCTGATTCAAGTTTTGCTGCCAACTGCATGGAATAAAACCAAAAGGGAGTTGATGCGGTACAGTAATTATCGTAGTAAAGCATTGGTATTTCCAAATAAAATTCGTGGTGACGTGGAAACGGCTTAAGTAATTGTCATATTAGTTTTCTAGTCTAAAAAATGGTGTGCTAAACATTTGTTTGAAGTATCGCTAAATTCACCCTTTACTTTTGTTACGTTCTCTAGATATTTATTTTCATACCTTTGTACTACATGATAATCTGTTAACAATAAATTTTTCTCTCAATATTGACATTGCCTTATTTTAGACAAATTGTGTTTTTGGTAGATTATGTGATTCATATTGTCCAAGATTACTAACTATATATTTTCATACAATAGTATCTTCAAGTTCTTTACTCCTTTTCTGGGATGTTATGATTCCCCGTAAAAATATATCGTCTTACTGTCTCATAATTACAGTATCTGAGGTTAATCGGAAAACCGACGGTCAGTTATTGAGTCCATAGGCAGCGTGTTAATTTCCATAAGATTACTTACTATTTTATAGTTGTAGCTGCGTCTGATTGATTAATCACATGTTTCTATTGGAGCCATAGAACAAGCTTCATGATCCCTATAAGCATTTGTCTTGGCACACGCCTTTCTAGCTAAATCATAATATAGGTAGCCGATAAACTTAAAAACAGGAAAATTCATTCATTCATATTTACCTACAGGAATGAAAAAAGCACTAAAATATGAAGGTAGGTAAACAAAACTTACGGCGAAGAGACGTAACAAAACTGCCTTGCGCTTTGTCAGTGACTTTGCATTTATTGATGACAAATGTGACGATAAGTCATCATTTGCATCGGTGATATTCGGACCCCAGATAGGCCAGTCTTCACTGATTACACACTGGAGATAATTTTCCTATTACAAAAGGATATATACAGCGAAATTATTTGTTTGGAAAAAAAACATACATCGAAACGGTACTGGGTACCAACGGCCTCAAGCAGTTGCCTCTTGAGTTCTGCGGTTATACTACCAGTGTAATGAACGAAGACTTCAAGACCAGATGGAATAAATGATTTAGTTCAAGACAATTTACTAGCAAAATATGTACACCCTATCTTTAGACTTCCATTATCAAAACAAACGGATTTTTGGCAGTCTTCTTGCATATATCTAAAAGTCTTCAAAGTACTTTGATCGCACCAAGCATCTGGATTCGACACTCTTCTATCCAGCAGTAACTTCTAGGAGACACTCCACTGCATACTACTTATAAGTCATGTTGCGAATGGTATACACCACGAAAGGTCATTAAGACCAAAGCTTTCGTTTTAGGTCCCTCAAGAAGAGATCACCCTCCAGCGTTGTCATCCGGGAAGTAACAACCGCCCTCATACCTCTAAAAGCACTTGAGACTAAAAATAGGCGAAGTAAGGATTGATCATTACTGTACTTAACAAGCGATTATTCAAACGAATGCTTTATTTTAGCTATCCGGAAAAAATTGCTGAATATCTGGGTTTTTAGATAGATATCACTCAGTTGAAGTTAATATGGATACTGTTTCATATGTGCATCGGCCCAAGTTGTCTCACCACATCAGTACAACGAGATGAAATTGTCAGGATAAATTTCAAACTAGTAGTATTACAAGTTATAAAAAAATGGAAATATGATTATGGTTGTGAATCCTAGCCTCTTTCCCAGCTAAGCATATCCGGTGACTTTCAGTTCCATCTTTGTTCTCAAGGGACTAATCATGTTCGCAGGAAAACCCGTGAAAATAATGCTTAGGTTTTATAATATATGCATGGTATAATGGATAATTGAAGATTGAGCACGTTCACGTATATTATTTCAGTGAGAGTAGCATAATGGTGGTCGCATATGACGACTAAGAAGTAGTTTTACATTGCGACTTTTCAAAAACATTAAAATGTATTTTGGGATGAATGGAATATATATTGGTCATGATATTTGAATTCCGTCGATATATCATAGTCATCCATGTTAAACGTCATTCCTTTTGATTTCTTAACAATTTCTAAGTCTTGTAATGTTATAAAATATTTAGTGTCACTTTCAGTCGGATTAAATGTAGTAGGAAACAAGACAGTCTCAGAAAGCTTTAAACGACGAAGACGACTACATTTGGCTTCTTTTGTTTGACCCTCGTGAGTTTATTAAATCTATTATTCAAGTTATAAAACCAATGAACAATGACTAAGCTGAGAGTTTAGGGATTGAAAGAAGCCATGATTTCTATCGTATCAGTAAGAGATGTAATTAATATTAAGTTTCAATGTATAAACCACGGTCACGCTACATAATCCCATTAATTTTTGCTTAAATTGCTGTAACATTAATAAGGAAAGCTATGGACGGTACGATACTTTAGGCAAATGAATTACTCAGAATACATAACGTATCAATACTGACTTTAAATAGTTGAAGATTACGGGCATAAAAATGCCATGCTTAACAAATATTTGCAAAACTAACCTCCAAATCACTTTGATCGGTATTCATTGCACATAAAGGTAAGCGGAAGGGTATATTCGACACCACAGGTCGAGGAAAAACTCTTGGCCATTTTGAGGCTTTGCAGTAAATTGCTTGCAGTTGACCAAACCCAACGACATTAGATTTTAAATCCTTTTTGTTTTCAGAAGACAAAGTTTCCACAGATTCACAGGATTCTAGAACACCAACAACGAAATAATTATCTGTTCGCCTATTGTTCTGCTTTAATAAACTTCTTGTATCACAAATAGGAACCCAATGAAATTCTGGTTGTCTTTGAGAACGGCCATGAATAAGGCGTCGTACGACCCCGTTAGAGTCATATGTAAACAGTCCTCCAGTATCGGAGAATCCAAACCACGTTAGGCGAACTACTGCAGTATCGAGAGAAGTAGGGTGTTTTAAAGGAGGACTAAGTGGCAAGTGTTGCCAGATAGATAAGGAACTTTTCATCCATAGTGGAGCTGGAGTTCGGTTGAACCCGAGCATAACTCCTCCTAGGTAAAATACTCTCCATTCTAATTCTCCTACTAGATTACAGGTTACCACAGCCAGAATAGGACTAGTAGGATGACTTGCTAAGACAACAGTGTGGTGACCAGAGAGACTAATGGGTGGTAAACCTAGCTTATTTATCTGAAGCAGACGTAAATTATTCGAATGTGCTACGGATGAAGATGCAGAAGGTTGAGTAAAAACGCGTAGTAGGCGCTTTGATGTAGCGACAACAGCATAGCCAGGACTTTCAGTTTTATTATTGCTCTCTTCAGTAACTAGGCAAACTGCATCACATAATTCACCAGGTGGAAGAGTTGTAGTCCATTCTGCAGAAGCATCTCCGATGTTCGAACTGCCAACATCTAGTGGTAATATAGCGATGCGACTAAGGTCATACAGTTCATTTTGTTCATCATCATTCAAATCATCCAAGTTAGGGTCGTCTGAACCCTAAAAATTATGAAAATGTACATCAAAATAAATCAGAAAATTAGTGACTTGTGTCTAGATTAACAGTAAAATCCGACTTATTACAGCTATAAAGCTGAGATAATTTAATTTCCAAGAAAAGCAATGATGTTGATAACACTAAAAGAACAACTGAATAAATTTTTAGTTAATTTAAAGTTGCCCAAGATTTATTCAAGTATCAAATGATTAGAAAGACTGCCAGTTAAATATGACAATCCATCAGGATTTCATGAAATCACTCGCAATGAAACAAGTGCACTTATTCTTCGTCTTCCGCCTAAATTTCTGAATTTCTCGCTTCATATTCATTCGATCAATAATCTTTCTTATTACAATTGATACTCTTACTATCTCTATTATTCTGGGATTCCGCTTGACGATTTCTCTGAGCTAATGGGGTATGGCAACTTGAACTGATGCACGTGTGTACAAAGTTCTGCGTTGTACCTGTTTGACTGGGTTCTGTTCTAACATGAACTTACCTGAAATGTACAACGTTACTACCATGTCGATTATTTATTTGACCCTCTATTAGTTTGTGACCAATTTGGTTTCGCATGCTGCTACGGGTATGAGGGTGGATGTCAATTCCCGGCTGCCCACATCGTGGAAGGGTGTTTCTTAAGTAACCTGACAAGGAAGGTAGATTAGTGTTGGTCTTAACGACATGGGAGCGTGACCGCAGATCCCAAGGGACAACTGATTGAGGCCAATTACGCACGGCTTTTTAATGGGTAGTATTTAAAGTGTTAGCTCGGTTCTTGTTCAGAAGGACTTATCGCCGAAGACGGAAATTTGTGAGGTAAGGTGAGGTGTGAAATTTTTACGGTCGACCTCTTCTAACCCCTTCCTTCATTATGTGACCACCTGGTGACTAACGAAATCTCAACGCGGATACAAAGGCTCGAATGACTTTTGCCAAACTTTGTCACTTATGGCCCAGGTGAGATATCCGTTTGCTAACCAAAGGACGAGTGTACTGCGCAGTAGTTCGCTCCGTCCTCATAAATGGTTGTGAAACATGGCCAGTAATAGTAGAAGATATTCGTAGGTTTCTGGTACTTGATCATAGGTGTCTTCGAAGCATTGCTTGTTTATCCTAGGAAAATCGAGTAAGCAATGCTGTTGTTAGGAAATGCGTACTAGATGAGGATGACAGATCAATAGATGAAGCAGTGAAACTCTGTTAGTTGAGGTTATTGAGACATGTGCTGCCCAACCACCGACTGGACAAGCGATTTTTTGTGGTGTAAGAGTAGATTGGAAAAACCTAGGAGCGGCCAAACCAAGGCATGCCGCAAACCCATGAAGTCACTGACAAGTAGAACGTGCCATGTTGGTGGGTGTAGACTACCTGGTTGGGTCCACTGGACAATAGTAACTTATGGTTAGACCTTGGATGGCATGGCTCAAAATCTTTTGCAACGGCGCAGGTGCGTTCATTCATTGAGTTCTCTCAAATTCTAATCTTCTGAATTTATCATCACCTCTACCTTTCTCCCTTTAAAATTATTTCACTGGCTTATGCTTCCTGAATAATAATCTTTGAACTTTAATCTTTTCCATTACTGCTAATACTTCTACTATCGCTACCACTATTGGATTTGAACTGACAGTTGCGTCTCTGTGCTGATGAGGTATGGCAACCTGACCTTATGTACTCATGTACGAGGTTCTATGTTGTAACTGACTGACTGACTATTTGATCCTATTTCTTATACATACTTTTGGAAAAAGCCAGTCTTACGACAGACTTGTTCAGTTGATAAGCCGACGGGGATGAAACCTACGAGACAATTAGGTAGTACAGTTTAGTCCACTGATTTAATTCGATTCGATGTTTTAAAGAGTATGGGCACTCGCAAACGAGAGAGTTCTTATCTGGTTAATAGTACTATTTCATGAATAAGAAGTAGGCGATACCGAATATATAGTTCTTGTTAGCAATAATGTTCGATGCAACCACAGTTCATTGGTCGTTATTGCTCCTTATGGGTCTTTAACTAGTAGGAGTTTGAAGCAATAAAGAGGTTCGGATGAACTATGGGTGGTCAGAACAAGAATATCTTGATCCACTAATACATTAATCGTTCACTTCCTTTACTAATCACATAAAAGCTTTGTCAAATATGCAGTTACAATTTTGTTGGAAAAATAGACTTGAGATTCTAAACAAGTAAAAATGAAACCGTGAGGTACCGTGTATATAATATACAATATAAAACACAAAGAAATGCTCAGACGAGGCAGTGGAGAACAGTTTCTAGCATTGGGACGAAGTTTAAGTCAATAATAATCTGACAGATATGACTTTTTGTGAATAAAAAATATATGTGTGATCTCGGTTTTAGTTAATTCACTAACTACTGAAAATTCAACAAGACTTCTTACTAAAGTTTGTGATTTTGTCAAGAAAGACAAGGAAGGTCCCATCACCAAACAGTCGAGCTCAGAACAAAACACTTAAATGCTTATCCTATGCTATAAATACTCTCTATTGCTTAAATATTATAGTAGGTGTTGTATGATTCTGAAATAGTAATGATATTAAAAAAACTCATTCTTCAGGGAAAAACATACATACTTTCGATGCTAATAACAAAGCAGTCAAACTTAGATCCGCCATAGAATAACCCGAACTATTGGATAACCGCAAACTGTGATGTAAACTAGTATCATGAAATTCTACTTCTATACTTCCTCCAGAAGATTGATTTGAGGCATCATCCTCTGCTTGATATTCAACTGTGTCTCTGAACTGTGTCACGATGCCAATTCTGTTCCATACCATGAAACGTTCGCGAAAACCTGAATTTCGAAAGAAAGATAAATAGAGAACAATAAGTGACGAATTATATTGATACGACAACCTAATTAGACACTTGAACCACATATTTTTCACTAATGCATACGCTTAATAAATACTGGTGAGACAGCTTAGGTGACCAGATATCTTATTTTGTTGTTGTGTTTTATTTAAAAAGCATATAGTCATTCGGTGACTGTTAAGATGGATAAATAAAATGAAGGTATATGTTTGCGCAATTAATAACATGATTTTAGTTCCTGAGCATCATGTCAGTCAATCAGACAGTTACAGGGTAGAACTTCGTACGTACGTACATCAGTTCAGGTTTCCATACCACATTAGCAAAGAGACGCAATTTTCAATTCAAATCCCATAGTGGTAGAGATTGATCTGTCATCCTTACCAAGTACTCGTTTTCTAATGGCAGCATTACTTACTCGGGTGTCCCACGATACAGGGGCAGTGATTCTAAGACATCTGTGATCGAACACTAGTAACCTACGAATACCTACTCTTACCGGCCATGTTTCGCATCCATATAGGAGAACGGAGCAAACTGATGCACGGTACACTCGTCCTTTGGTTAGCAAACAGATATCTCGCCTACGCCATAAATGACGCAAGTTGTATCCGTGATGAGAGTTCGACACATACCAGGCCATCAGCAGTGATGAGACTCCCGAGATAAGTGAAGCAGTTAACATGCTCAAATGCTTCACTCCCTATCACTAGTTCAGGTGCCGACGCAAACGAATCTCGAAGGGTTAACCTATCAGGACCAGCTGTTCTCCCTCGTCTGAGATTTCCTATAGCTTTCTCAACTTAAAAACCTCGAACTTAGGCCGACTTTCCATTCAGTCGACTGGAGATCGTACGTAACCGAAGTGTGAATGAAGGTCAGACGAACTGATGCCTAGTGCTCTGTCCATCGATCCAATCATGCTCAACTTTTTCGGAGATAGTCTGTCTAACAGACAGACAGACAAATAGAGATTATGAGGAATTCAGAAGGTTAGAATTAAAAAGCACACATAGATGGGATGCACCTGCGCCATTGCAAGGGCTGAGCCATGTCGTTCAAGGTCTCTAACCATTGGTGACTTTCGTCTCGCGGACCCCAACCATGTAGTCTACATCTATCAGTCCACTTGTCAGTGACTTCATGGATTTCTGCCATGTTTCGGTCTGACCGCCCCTAACTTTCTTCCAACCTACTCCTACACCACAAAACATAGCTCGTCGAAGCAGCCGGTGGTTAGCCATACGTAACACATGTCCCAACCACCTCGACTGATGGAGTTTCACAACTTCATCTATTGATTTGCCATCCCTACATAGAACTCGTTTCCTAACGACAGCATTGCTTACTCGGCTGTCCCACGATATACGAGATTTCGTCAGTCACCAGGCCATCAGCACTGATGAGACTCCCAAGATAAGTGAAGCAGTCTACACGTTCGACTACTTCACTCCCTATCACTAGTTCAGGTGCCGATGAAACCCAATCTTGAAGCAAAATTTTGCATTTCGAGGGAGAAAACCGCATATGCTTGCATTGTTGCTTAGGGTAGTCAGAAGACTCTGCATTTTGTCAGCATCTTCATCAAGTAGGACAATGTCATCGGCATATTCTAAGTCGATAAGCGAGCTACCAGGTAAAAGGTCTACTCCTGAAAATTCAGACGAGGATGAGGTTATTTCTAGGAGCATGTCTATGATAAAATTAAACAAAAATGGAGAAAGTGGACATCCCTGACGGACACCGCTTGAAGTGAAAAATTCAGGTGACCGTTCGTCATAAGCTGTCGCTCGATCAGTGGTGTTCGTTTAGAGAGCTCCTATAAGTTTAATGTACTTCTTTGGTACACTTTTCAATGACAGACACTGTCACAGAACCTCACGATCCACTGAGTCGAATGCCGCTTTAAGGTCCATGAAGAAGACTATTATCGGACGCCTAAAATTGTGTCTGTGTTCCAGGACCTGTCCAGGTCGAAAACCAGCCTGGTTTCCTCTAGTCTGCTCTTCACGAGCTGTAGTTAGACGTCTAAGTATGATAGAGCCTAACAATTTAGAAACAATATTAGTTAGACTTATTCCCCTGAGATCGTCACAAGAACACTTTTGTCCTTTCTTATAAATTTGGACAATCAGTCATTGAGACCACTCGGATGGAATTACGTCCAGTTCCCAGATTCTATTTAGGATCTCGGTCAGTCTAACTGTTAAAACTGGACCACCACACTTAAACATCTCAGGGGCAAGCCTATCAGGACCTGCTGCTCTACCTCCATTTAGATTTCCTATAGCTTTCTCAACTTCATTAAGACTAGGGGGTCGATTTGCCATTCAGGATGACTGGAGATCGTGGGTAACCGAAGAGTGGCTCGAGGCCAGTTGAACTGATCCCTAAAGTGTTCCGCCAATCGGTCCAGTCTCCTGGTTTGAGAATGGATAATAAGACCATCCTTTTCCGAAATAGTCTCACTCACATTTGGGTTCCTAACACCAGTTTCCTTGATGAGTCTAAATAGTTGCCTACTGTTGCCTGTAGCCGCTGCCTTTCCTATCGCTTTTGCTTTCGCCACCCACCATTGTTCACGGTCATTACGTAGGCTTTTTATCAGCCTGCGCTTAAGCTGACTTCACTCCTCATCATGTTCAGAGCCAGGTGGGATGAGTTTTCGAGCCTCTATCAGTTCGGTAGATGCTACTGAGATCCACGGCTTCATCCTAGGCTTATGGTTTACCTTACTAGCAGATATCACTACTGTTTCCACAGCCTTTTTGATATCATTCCAACCTGCTTCCGGATGGGAATCACTTACATGGTTGCTTAACTCACTTTCTAGTTGCTCCTGAAATATATTCTTAGCTTTATTATCATTAAGTAAAACCCTTAGAGGCTTCCCTATGGTGTCTTTCCTACGTCCAGTAAGCCGCAAACAAATACGCGCTCGCACTAGGGCATGATCTGAATCCAAACATGTGCCCCAGAACGAGCGACAGTCCTCTATCGAACCTCTCCATCGGTTGCTGATGGCGATATGATCTAGTCGGGTCCAATGTTGAGACGACTTCGGGGGTCGCCAGGTCGACAGATGCTTTTCCTTATGCCTAAAGTTGGTGTTCGCTAAGAATAGGCGGTTATCTGAGCATAGTTGCAACAGACGGTCGCCATTGTCTGTTCTCTCAGTCGCTACACCATAACATCCACCTAGATGTCTTTCCTTTTCACCTGGTCTACCTACTTGAGCATTAAAGTCACCAGCCATTATTACTATATCAGAGCGCCTAACTTTTTGGAGGAGGTGTGAAAGCTTCCAGTAAAACTCATCTTTTACATCGTCTGAACTGCAGTCAGTGGGGGCATAGGCAGATACGATGAAGAGGCAACGGCGATTGTCCCTATCTTTCCGAGTCCTTACTGTCCCGTTCAGTCGGATAGCGCACAAGCGACTATCTACAGGTATCTAGTCTAGGAGAGCTAGCTCTGCCCTAAGACTCAATGCTATACCTACGCCAGCGAGACCCCGAGAAGCAGTATCGGGGCTTCCAGATACACGAAGAGTAAATGGGTTGCTTCTTTATTTTGACAAGGTGAAACCAGATTAATAATTTTACTAGGATCCTATATGCGCGTTTCCAAGACGCAGCAGTCATAGATTGAGTGAGATTCTAAAGTCCTAGCTAACGATGCCTGTTGGCTATTTGACACAATGTCCGTACATTAAATGCTCCAACATGTAGTTTAGAATGGGGTTTAAAGAAACCAGGAACGACGTTTCGTGAACTCGCATCGTTTGCATTAGCGGTGCAGTGAGCTGAAGGAATGTGACTTGAGTTAGTCGTAGAGATAAGAGAGATATTAGGAGGTGTGGTCTCTCTAACAGCCGAGTTTTAATACCAGTTTGCTTATGAGTCTGAATAGTTGGTTACTGTTACTTATTGCCGCTGACTTTTCTATCTCTCTTGCTTTTGCTACCCATCACTGTTCGCGATCGTTGCGTAGGCTTCTTATGAACCTGCGCTTAAACTGACTCCGCTCTTCATCATGCTTAGAAATTAGATGAGATGAGGTTCGGAGTATCTGTCAATTTGGTAGAGGCCACTAAAATTCGCTGTTTCTCCATAACCTTTTGGCTGAAGTTACCGGCAGATAAAACCGCCATTTCCATAGCTTTTTGAGGGGGGTATACCAATAACATCAAAAGAATGCGAAGGACACTAAAGAAATACTAAATAGGGATATAGTTTCTGAACGATTGTTATTACTAATACATAAGGGTATTTTTGCAGGACATTGATTTGGGTTTAAACAGGAAGTAGCCTTATAAACTACATATAGCTTCCATGCAGTGTGAGTTTTAGAATTGAGCGTACAAAGAAAGAAGTTCGATGCTATTGTTTGCTCGAATCCATAAACGCGCATGACGATGGCATGTTTCTTTAGTTTTACTTTTACCCAAACTTCACAAAAACTACATAGTACTTACCGACTGGTGTTGCACCTGATTGGAAAGCCTTCTGCAAAGACTGGATCGAGATGCAATCTTTCTTTGGATGAATATTATCATCCACAGTAGGAACAGTCTGTTTGATTTCTATTTTTGTAGGAGCTTGTTGCTCCTCAACCTCATCATTGAATGACATGTAATCAGACTTTATTCGAGATAGATCGATGGAATCTGAATCACTATCATTACCGTTTGGATGGTCAATGACATCGTCGTCAGTTACAAGTCTGCTAGATTCTGCTTGAGCTGCAGCGGCACTCAATAGATTTGCAGTATCTCCATCTTCATCACACCCCATTAACTCAGCTATTCTATTCGGAGACAAAGGATCTCTAGAAGAAGGCTTGGAAAAGTAAAATAAGAAAAACAGAACTAATGCATACATACTACCCCAAAAACGTAATATAACAAAGCCATATTAAAATAATGATCCCGAGATCATGAGGTTCATAATGTATGCTCACAAAAAACTACTCAGAATTAATCGAAATAATATCTTTTGAGAATACAGCACTAAACTCAAAAAAAGTGTCATGTGAACTTTACACAATGAAAAACATAAACAAGTGAGAATGATTATCACACGGTTGAAAATCGCTCACGGAATTTAAAACTTGTGATAGACAAGCTAGATGTTTATCTGGAATACTTAGTAAGTGGAGATTCCATACATGATATTTTAAAAAACGAATATAATTGTGCATAGGCATTTGTTTAACATTTTTATATGCCGACTTTTTAATAGCTTTTATTTAATTTCTCCTAACTTCATGGTTATATTAATGTCTCACTTTTTTTATCTTCTTTCGGGTGCTAATCGAATATCTAGTTTGACTTTCGTACACTTAGTGGTTATGATTTATAACCGTAAGTAGATTTTTATACCGTACTTCCAAGTGACAGATATTATTAAGTCTCTTGTAACTGCTGTATACGCGACCATGTGCAAACAGCCAGTAGGATCAGATCGAGATTTTAAATGCCTAAATTTGACGAGATTTTCCAAATAAATGAGATAGACAGTACGCTAACTTAATTCACTACTAGTAATCTAACTAATCGGTGCAGACTAAATGGAGAAATATTCTGAAAGCGAGTAAAGCAAAATCTCTAAAAACTACGTCAAAACTGGTTAGGGTTACAAGGAAGAATAAGGTCAAGACCATTTTCTTGGAGCATATGATTGATTGCACTTTCTTGTCGTAGATGATATAGGTTCGCATAAAAAGCTGCTTTTCAACAATTCCTCTTAGTTTAAAACTTATCACTAATAGAGATGAATTTTGGTATACCTACCACTGGTATCAATAATATCTAAGATAACAGAAAGAAATACCTGTAGGTCTGGAGCATTGACAAGTCCCACAGATCCGTTTTCATTTGCGAATAAAAGGTTTTTGTCGAGTGGATGCCAAAATAAGCTACAAACTCGACTATGAGACGGATCACGAATGCTATTAACAAGAAAACATATCTGTAAGTCATTTAGTAGTTATCCTAAATAATACTTACAAGTAAGGAAACAATTTACTTACTAATTCTAGGTAAACATTTAAAGACTACCAAGCATAATGGTGTGATACCGTAAGACTTAGAAACCAAACACTAATAAGAGAAAGTAATCAACTAGAACGAAGTATCATGTAGATAATTTTGAAGGAGTTTGTTTTGACCAAGTAAACCGAGTTCACGAGGTAAACTGAGGCCTATCATTGATCTACATTTATGGTGTAGAACCTCCACGGTAAATCATAGACATGTATTGATCTTCTTACCTTCGTAAAACAGAGTGGTTAGTAGCTTTCCGGTAGCCGCTTGTACACATCTTTCCAAGTGATTAGACAGTTGATTCTGTGTTTAGATACTGACTCTAGCAATGAAGAGTGGATTTCCGGCGTTGAAATTACAGGCTGCAAGTTGAAGTTTACGTGTATTTCAGCAATCCATATATTCATACGTCTTTATAAACTTATTTCACTAAATCATACTTATTGAATATATTTGAACCTTAATCCCTCCGATTACAGCTAATACTTCTATTACCTCTACTACTATAGGAATTTAACTGACAGTTGCGTCTCTGTGCTGATGTGGTATGGCAACCTGAACTGATGTACGTACGAAGTTCTGCGTTGCATGTCTGTCTGTCTGCTAGCTAAACGAGTGCTGAAACTTATTTCTTTTTTATTAACTCAAACAAACATAGAGAAATTATATCGTACCGATGAATTGCTTGTCTGTCTTCAACACGCCAGATAATAATCCACCCATCTAAAGATCCACCTGAAATAAGTTGGCCATCCCGTGAAGAAGCGCATACACTGTAAGGATGAGTAACGGAAGGACAAGATAAAGAACTCAGCAAACTCCAGCACTCTCGCTCGAACATTCGGATTTCTCTATCAACCGGTACAAGTAAGAACTAGGAGATCAAACAGGAATAGAAACGGACATACCTTCCCAACTGTGCTCTCCCAACATAATCTGCAGTAACTTGGAGCTAAAAGGGGATCACTACATTTCGCAAGTGTTGAAATGCACTTTGTTTCTTTCCCAGTCATTAAATCCCAGAGACGCACACTGCCGTCACATGAAGCAGAAGCTATGAAAACATCAATTGGATCGAAGGCCACACTCAAGACGGCGCCTTGATGTCCTTTGAATACTAATTCCCGATCGCTACCATGGGTTGAAAGATCTACAACCTTGATTGAGAAATCACTACTGATATCGACCACAAAAAATAGTAACCCACCTACTACACAGAACAATCTTACTTAGATCCTTACTCATAGCTAAATGATTAACTTCTGCAGTAAAGCGGGTAGCTACACCGTCTGGAAGACCATCTTCCATTTGGAGAATGTGAACATAAGTTCCCTCAGTGGCAACAATGACGTTTTCATACTATTCTGAAATTAAAACTACTGATAAATACCTACTCGGCAAGCAATAGCATTTATTTTTTCTCCAACGATATGTTCCAATGGGCAAGCATCATCAAGTGTTTCGAAAACTTTTATCTTCCCATCTGATCCACCAGTAACTATACGACTAGAAAACATAATAAACAACCAAAACATGAGGAATTACCGCCCATGAACATCATAGATTGCCGACGTCAATCCTTTTTTATGAACATTTATAGGTCCCTTCGAAATCGACATAACTCAAAAAATTCAGCCTCCCGTGAGTTTGCGTTTAACCTGAAAGTACCTCGTGAGTTGGGGGTGTGTGAGGAGCAGTATGTAAGATGATCTGAAGACGAAAGAACAAAAGAAAATGTAAGTCGATAACTTAGTAAAAACATAGAATGCACTCAAGTTTAATAGAGAAACAAATCGAAAAAAATCAGAGAAAACACAAGCATAAGACTGAGGTAAGCTGATAGTCAAAATAAGAAACTGTCAGTATGAGGCCTCGAATGCATCTCGTTTGAGAAACATCAAATACACCGCAAAACGCAAGTTTCTTACCAAACATTACAGTCAAACGAACATTTAAATTTTACTAAGCAGAACTTACAAATAAGTTGTTTACTGAAGATTTATAGTAATATTTAAGCATTATTAGTGAAAAAACATATAGTTCTTGCTACATTCCAGAAACTTAGGGAAAGAAACTTCAGGCTACATTAAAAGGCTGTTGTTAAACTTACGTATCTAACCAAAAAACATACAAGTTATTCCATAATGCGAAATCGCAACATGATGTAGTAACAAATATGTTGACGAACAGGAATCAAGTCAACGATATGCAGAAGGAAGTTTTTTGAGGCGAAAACTGCCCACCTTTCTCGCTTCATTTCGAAGTGAAAAACTAGCTTAATTAGCCGGTCAGGTTCTACTTACTTACTTACTTACGCCTGTTACCCCCAATGGAGCATAGGCCGCTCACCAGTTTTCTCCAACCAACTCTGTCCTGGGCTTCCCTCTCCAGTTCTGTCCAATGTTTGTTTATTCCTCTCATATCTTTCTCTATTTCTCGGCGTAGTGTGTTCCTTGGCCTTCCTCTTTTCCTTTTGCCTTGAGGTTTCCATGTGAGGGCTTGTCTCGTGACGCAGTTAGGTGCTTTTCGTAGTTTATGTCCTATCCACTTCCACCGCTTCTTCCTGATTTCCTCCTCCACTGGAATCTGACTTGTTCTCTCCCACAGTTCGTTGTTGCTGATGGTGTCTGGCCAACGAATACGAAGTATTTTGCGTAGACAGCTGTTAATAAACACTTGTATCTTCTGAATGATGGCTTTGGTAGTTCTCCATGCTTCCGCTCCATACAGTAGAATTGTCTTCACATTTGTATTGAAAATCCTGATTTTGGTTTTGGTTGAAAGTTGTTTGGAGTTCCAGATATTTTTCAACTGTAGAAATGCAGCCCTTGCTTTGCCAATCCGCGCCCTCACATCTGCGTCCGATCCACCTTTCTCGTCGATGATGCTGCCAAGATATGTGAAGGTGTTAACGTCCTCCAAGGTATATCCATCAAGCGTGATTCGGTTGGTGCATGTTGTGTTGCATCGGAGAATTTTGCTTTTTCCTTTATGTATGTTGAGACCTACTGCTGCAGAGGCTGCTGCTACACTGGTCGTCTTCTCTTGCATTTGTTGTTGAGTGTGCGATAGAAGAGCCAAGTCATCTGCGAAGTCCAGATCGTCCAGCTGCGTGCTAACTGTCCAGTTGATACCGTGCTTCCCTCCAGATGTTGACGTCTTCATAATCCAGTCGATGACCAGGAGAAAGAGAAAGGGTGAGAGTAAGCAACCTTGCCTGACACCGGTCTTCACCTCAAAAGAGTCTGTCAGCTGACCTCCGTGCACGATTTTGCAGTTGAATCCATCATAAGAATTCCGTATGATGTTGACTATTTTCTCAGGCACACCGTAGTGTCGAAGAAGCCTCCACAGTGTTTTCCTATCCACGCTATCGAATGCTTTCTCGTAGTCGATGAAGTTGATGTAGAGTGGTGAGTTCCATTCAATTGATTGTTCCACAATGATACGTAATGTAGCGATTTGGTCAGTACATGATCGATCCTTACGAAATCCGGCCTGTTGATCTCGAAGTTGGGCGTCTACGAAATCCTTCATTCTGTTTAACAATACTCTGTTGAAGACTTTGCCTGGTATTGAAAGAAGAGTGATGCCTCTGTAGTTTTCACACTTGCTGAGATCGCCTTTCTTCGGTATTTTGATCAGGTATCCTTCTTTCCAATCTGATGGTACTTGTTCCTCATCCCAAATCTTCTTGAAGAGAATGTGAAATATTTTCGCAGTTGCTTCCACATCTGCTTTCATTGCCTCTGCTGGAATGTTGTCTGGTCCTGCTGCTTTGCCGCTCTTGATTTGTCTGATGTCTATACTGATCTCCTCAATCGTAGGTGCGCCAATATTAGTTGGGAGGTCCTTGGATGCTGCTTCGATGTTGGGTGTGTTCAGTGGAGCTGGTCGATTCAATAGTTCCTTAAAGTGCTCCACCCACCTATTTCGCTGTTCGTCAGTGTTGCTGATTATTTTCCCATCCTTGCTTTTCACTGGTCGTTCTGGTTTACGATAGTTCCCGGCGAGCTTCTTTGTTGTTTCGTACAATTGTCTCATGTTTCCTTCTCTTGCAGCCTTTTCCGCCGTCATTGCTAGATCTTCCACATATTTTCGTTTGTCAGCTCTGATGCTCTTCTTCACTTCCCTGTTTGCTTCTGTATACTCGGCTTGCGCCTTAACTTTCTCTGCTCTTGTTCGGCTGACATTCACTGCTGCCTTCTTGTTCCTCCTTTCTTAAATTTTTGCGGGAGTATCAACAGAGATCCATTCTTTGTGATGGTGCTTCTTGCGACCAAGGACCTCCTGACATGTTGAAGTGATTGCCTCCTTAATCCCTTTCCAATCGTTCTCCAATGTTGCTTCCTCTGCATTGAGTAGATCCTGAAAGGCCTGGAACCTATTGGTGAGGGCTATCTTGAATTCGTTGAGTGTTACGGTATCCCGAAGAAAGGCTGTATTAAACTTCTGTGATGATGTCTGCCCCGTTGTCCAGTGCTTCTTTAGCTTCAATCTCATTTTGGCGATCAGCAAGTGGTGATCTGAAGCTATATCAGCTCCTATCTTGGTTCTCACATCCTCCATGGTCCTTCTGAACTTTTTGTTGATACAGATATGGTCAATTTGGTTTCGAGTAGTGTGGTCCGGTGAAATCCATGTGGCTTTGTGAATGCGTTTGTGCGGGAATATTGTGCCACCGATGACCAGTTTGTTGAAGGCACATTGGTTTGCAAATCTCTCACCGTTTTTGTTCCTTTCTCCCAGTCCATGTCGTCCCATGATGTCTTCATATCCAGTATTTTCCATGCCAACCTTGGCATTTAGGTCTCCCATAAGAATCGTCAAATCCTTTGGTGAACATTTATCGACGATTGACTGCAGCCTTTCGTAGAATTGATCTTTAACGTCGTCATTGTAGTCATTGGTAGGTGCATAACATTGGATGACGTTCATTGTAATGTCCTCTTTCTTTGTTTTGAAGGATGCTTTAATGATCCTGGGTCCATGAGATTCCCATCCTATCAGTGCCTTTTGTGCATGTTTGGACAGCATCAGTGCAACTGCTTGTGTATGTGAAGCGTTTTCTTCTTCATGACCAGAGTATAACAGCAGTTCCCCTGAAGCTAGTCTCAGTTGTCCTACTTGTGTCCAATGCGTTTCACTGATGCCGAGCACCTCGAGGTTGTATCGTTTCATTTCTGACGCAACTTGAAATAGTCTTCCAGTCTCCCACAATGTACGAACGTTCCATGTACCTAAAAAAATGGTTGTTCTGGTTGTCAGAAGAGGCATCGGCCCCGTGACTTCCGAGGGAACTCGGCTTTCATCACGAGACGTCATAATTCTTCTTCCAACTCCCAGGGCAGAGGTAAAATGGTTTGAATTATTTTTTCTGGTTAGCGTTTTTTTGGCAAGTGAGATTTCAACGGAATGGGGTCGCCAACCCCATGTCCAACCCTCCTCCTTTATCCGGGCTTGAGACCGGCAGTAGCCCCTAAGGTTCTACTGGCGGAGTTCGGTCAGGTTCTAGGGAATACCAAAATACACAGCTCAGAACTCCATCGGAAAATAAACAACACATTCAACCCGAGTGAAATCACATATGTCTGGGATTCTATCACATATTTCTTTACATTTCGCGTACAGCAGCAAACGCTAAACGCTTGAGATCATTTTGTAAACAATACATATATATGTGTTGCGATCTCTCGTTTTCAAAACTTTCATCACTATAAGAGATGGTCCGAAACTCTAGAGTGAAGACCACACCGTGAAAGAACAGTGAACGGAATATCAGAATCAAAGAACAAAAACAAGCGTTGGTACTACAACACCGACAATTGTCTTCTAGAAGTTTCAGGAAATCCTGCAGTATCCCCAACTTCATCTTTTCGTTAAAATCTCCTGCAGGCCTACACTAACAGCAACCTCGGCCAGTAGATATAGATGTTTGTTATACGTCACTGGTGTGAAGAAAAATGTTTGTTATTGATCGCCACCTACTGTAGAAGGTAATTCTAAACTAATGTGACCTTGCATACATTTATTCCCTTGGATAATGTTGTTACAAATGAGTCAGTCACAACCACTAACAACTGCCTGCTACAAAAACATAATTTACTCTTCAAACCAAGCAAACGAAAGTTAAAGGACGGAAACACCAAATTATCTGTTTATGGAATTTCATTTTCTGCCGGCGGGTTATAGCGAATTCGTCTTAGATTTGATTTACTTACTTCAGATGGTAAACGACATGTGTGGAAACGGTTTATGTCGTTAAACTTCCGAGAACAATTTTAAGATATTCGAACTCTCTAAACTCAAATGGAAGATACCGATATTTGGCACGAATTCCATCGATAACCCTGAAACTTCAAACCGAACAGATAAATATATCGAAATGTCTCCACAATATGACATATTATTACAACAGCACTTTATTCATACATCTCTGCTATGAAGAGTCCATTTTGTATTTCATCCCAGATGCAATCGTGCACAAAAATTTAAATAAGCCCACAAATAATAATAGCGATCGAGTCGAGATTGACTATCATCACCAGTAAATACTAATTACTAGCCCGTCAGTGATAGAACTAATAGACCTAGGGTTAAGAATTTATTTGCTGGTGATTTCGTAGTGCAGAAAGAACACAGAAATTAATCCGGGAAAGTGGGCGAGTTTAAAGAGCATCTAAAAGAATGGAGGGCAGCAACACAAACATAAGGTTGGACGTAAAAATATGGTATAAATAA